TGCTGAACCATTCAAGCTATCAGGAAGACTAACTTCAGCTGATGTGATGTCAGATCCCGAGCTACTACAGTAGATGCTATCTGGTGGTGATAGCCATCCTTTGTCTTCCATAGAAAGTCGAGAAAAGCTGATAATAAAATCATCGGTCTTATCATCTTCAGATATAGGGAGACTCTCCTCTTCTTTACCATCAAATTCAACAGCATCACCACCTCCACCACCAGCATCTGATCTTGACAAAGTAATATCCTCTGATTTTACTTCCTGACTTTCTCCTATTCCTTCAAGTGCCTGAAAAGAGAGAAAGTGTATCTTACAAATTAAGGAAAAAAAAAATCTTTGGCCAGTCAAAATAATTGACTGAGCCAGGGGCTATATATATACACACATAAGAGAAGAGAGACAGAGAGGGAGGAGGAAGGGGGGGGGGGAGAAGACTGCCACATTACTTTGTGCAGATTGCCGGCATGGACATTAGCAGTTCTTGCTAGCCTAGTCAACAATGAATAAAGTCCCTTCACAGCTGATGTCAAAGAGGATATCAAGGGCTTAAAGGTCTGACAAGCCTCCCTGGTTCTTAAATTATATGACTGATAAATAGCTTGTCCATGGATGTGTGATATTTCCTTCTTGGTCTCACTTTCCCTAGCTATAGCCTCAGCTATAGCAGCTACATCCTTAGACAACATCGATTCGAGTGGAAGAAGGATGGCATTTGCCTACCAAAAATAAGAAACTGATAGTAAAAAATTTGGCTTTAGGGAAGCTTAATACAAGGAAATATGGAATTGACAGTTATAGGCAAAGCCTAGAGGTCAATATTTTACCAACAGAGATACAAGGGTTAAAATAAAACCTTTGAAAGTCCTTCCATAAGAGAAAGGTGGATAGCAGATGCCTCTTTCCCCAGATTGTAAACATCATGTATATCTTCAGTTATTGCTAGAACCTACAAAGCAAAGAAACATTTGGTTGCAAACAATCCGTAGGAAGAGGATTTAATGGTAATGAATGAAACACATAGTAACTTATTTGTATGGTCTCTGTAGATTGTTTGTAATATTTTGTGGCAGTAATCATATATTCATCATAAGCAACAATAGATCTGGTGATGAGGGACTCATTCGCTCATTTATTTAATGTATATACAATCCTTTTTAATGAATTGGGATTCTTTTGGGAAGGGGAGGGGTCAGTAATTTAGCATTTCTTCGTTAACTAGTTGGCCTTGCATATTTCAAGATCCCTATCATGATATACAGAACCAGAAGATTATGAAACAAGTTCATCAAATTATATTTATGTTTAAATGCTATATTTGATCATGTGAACTTGGGTCTTGATAGGATTATAATTTAAAAAACCAAGTGCAATGCATAATTTCATTAACCTAAAATCCTTTTACCTACTTACAAATTAGAAGCTCCAAAATTATCTAGTAGAACCATGTGCAAAATACATGGATTGGGCATCAATAGAGATCAAATTCTATAAAATCATCCAGAAAAATTTGTTCAAAATTATACACCACATTAACATAGGACAATGCCAAATTCGGACATTACCTCTTCAAGCATAGAACCACTTTCAGAAGTTAGAGCAGTATGGATCCTTGAAACCCGAGCAAAAGCAGATAGTGCAACACTAGCCTCATATGCACAATCCCTCATTGAAAGAACCGTGCTTTGTAAATCACCTATGGAAAGGTAAAGAACATTAGATCAACACATGCAACCACAATGCTGATACATCAACGTAGAAAGTTAACATGCATATCATATGCATTTATGAAATTCAGTGTATACATGAACAGTAACCAACATGGCAAGCTCTACCTGAAGCTGACTTTGCTTTTAGAGAGGCAATGCAGAGCTCATTGGTTGCACTATATAATCCATTAGAAGCAGCTTCAACAGTGCATTGTGCAAGCTTCCACTCTTGTTCAGTACCTAACAAAAACAAGAAAGCACATGTTCACTTTATGCAGAAATTCAACTAACAAGGAGAGTTCAACAACAGAGAAATATAGCAAACTCACGTGTATAAGAATGGAAAGTAACATCCAATCTTGCTAGAGCATTCAAGTATACTTGCTGCCATGTCTTGCCATCAACACTACTCCTGAAGGGATATGGTTGACCTGGTATAAGCAAATATCCATCTCTTGATGCTTCAAACTCTAACACTGACACACATAGCTTCACAATGTCAGATGCCTTTTCTCTAGATTCCCATAAAATCTGTCTCCGAGTCTTAATATGTTCATGGAACTCAAGAGGAATTCCTGAATTTTTAGTTGCAGTATTTCCAGAACTACCGGAATTGGGACCCCCACAAGCCCAAGCCATTGCTCTCTCAAGCTGTCCTTCAGCTAAAAGAGAATTTCGTTCACAAGACTGAAGACAATCCATTGATGTTGTAATTTTTGACACAGCAGATTGTATATTGTCCAGTAATTTAGATCTGCTGAGGTTTAATATGATTGTATACAAGCTGTCAGCAGTATCAAGATACTTCTCAAATCTAATTCTTCTGTTATATGTTGGGTTCAAACTAACATCATGCATCCATTCCATCTGAACTACCTCAAGGGCAGTCTTTCGAAGAGCTTCTTTCAACTCATTCACTTGCTTTTTCATGAGAGAAGCAGCTGATTTTGCTGCTCTAGCAGTTTCATGAGCATTGCAATATTCTTCAAGCATAAGTAAAACCTTTTTCACAGCCCCATCCTTTTTCACCTGGTCTAAAGCAAGTTCCTTTGATGACTCTGTAAGTAGCTTCAAGTGCTCATTTTCTTTATCTAAACAAGTCATTAAACTAGGAGCAACTCTTTCTTTCAAATAGTGACCAATGTGTTTCTGAAGTTGGATTTCAAGCTTTTTCTTCATAAAATTAAGTGATTGGTCAAAGCCAAGATTTTGTTCAACTGACGAAGCTACATCATGTATGCATGCATCAAGAAAAGAATCTATGACACCTATTTTCCAAATAAAGAATGAATGGTTATCCAATAGATCTCCAACTTTCCAGACATACTCAGATATAGAATTCCCAGAATTTATCAAGTCTGCTAGAGTATGAAATTTACTTGAGGGTGTCAAAACTGAACCATCAGCTGAAGACAGCTTCATATCAACGGATTCCAGTTCCAAGAAAGGCTTAACAAGGGAAGCCAATAGTGCTTTGCTTCTCAAAACATGTAAATCCCTTTCTTCTTCCACACCCACTAGAGATTGAAATTGACAATTCACAGAAACCAGGGCATTTTTAATGTCAGCTTCTCTCTTTATAAGAGAAGAAGCCCTTACATCCCTCTGATTCCATGTTTGATGAAGTTGGTCCAGTTGTGCTCTACAAGCTTCCTCTTGGGATGCAAGTTCCTCTGCCTCTTCCCACGAAAGATGATCTCTTCCCTTAACTGCAGCTTCTTCAAGAGCCAGCTGCTGCTCAGTAATATGACCAACCTTAACAAAATAATTCTGTTCGAGTTCAATCAGCGATGCTCTCTCCATTTCAACCTCCACAAGCTGCTCCAGTGCAGTTTCTATAGACCCTCTAACTTGTGAGATCAATCCAAATGCATCCATAACCTCCGAATTTAATGAAACCGCAGATCGTATTACATTTGGCAGAACAACTTCTGTCATTTGACTAACCAATCCCTTACAGGAAATCAAAATAGTTTTGAAAATGGAAACCCAATTACTTTCAGCAGAAAACTTTGAACGAATTTTGTTAATATCAACAGAAGGGATGTCCTTTACAATTAATTGGCATAGATCATTAACAAACTCTGTCACAAGATTACATTTTTCAACTTGTTCTTCAAACCCAGCAAAAATAGTTCCAGAATCATTCTGCAACATATTGTACTGATTTCTTCCTCCTGAAATATCATTATATATATTTTGTATTCTATGCTTAACCTCATTATAAAGTGAACTTACAGAAATATTCATAATCAATAGTGCCTTCTCCCTCTCCTCTTCTAGCTCACCTAAAGGTCTAGCATTGTTCATTCCTTCATATTTAGATTGAACAGAATATATTCCATCTTCCTTTCTTAAAAGACCAATGGACTGCATGAATTTCATGAAAGAACACAAAAGGCGGTCCTTAGTTTTCGATTCTGATTCGGAGCCAATAGAACTCTCTATTTCAGCACACTCTTTTTCTAATTTTTCTATTTCTACTGCATACTTCTCCACTCTGAAACAAAGATCATCATGACTGCATTTGATAGAATCAATGCTATCTATATGAAATTTTGCAATAAGTTCAGAAGCCTGCCTTCTGGCAAGAGAGAGAATATCTGAGGACATGGCATTGATAGATAATTGTAGAACTTGTGCCCAGTTATGGACTGCACTGGTTGAAAGGTAATTTAATGGTAGAATTCTTTGCAGAGCCAAGGAGTATGCTTGCAAAGAAGTTGCGGCAGAAGTTAGTCCATCATCCAACTCAGCAATGAATTGAGAAACTTCCCTATCTATATCATGGCATTGTGCTTGTGTTGGCTCGGGAACAACAGTTAGGGGAACCCCTGCTACAATGACAGCAGATGTAAGAGATAAGGCTGCTTCCATGTTATTCAGCTTAAAAGAAGCATTTATTTCTGGAATTAAGTTGCACCGTAAAGCATCAAGAATCCTTCCATGCTGCTCGGCCCAAGTCATTGCCTCCTGAGCTTTCTCAGCAACCACAGCCTTTGCCTGGGCAAATTCCCGAGCCTGAATTTCAAAAGAAGCTCGAATTTTCTCTAAATTACTGGTTGCTTCAGCAACAATCGACTTTGCAGATGTCTCGTGCATTATAAGGCTAGACCTCTCCTGGTCAACTCGGCAATATAGACTAGAGGCAAGTTCATATTGGTTTAGAACGTCAGCAAACCTCTGGTACATAATTCTCAAAGTTAATTCAAATGAAAAAATAAATAATTGAAAAAATAAATAAATGTAGCCAAGAAATTCATGGCATTGATGTCATCAATACCTCAAGTACTGATTCAACAGCTGGCAGGCTAGTCAATAATTGATCATGGTGTTCCTATTCACAGATTTTGGGTAGAAAAAAAAAAAAAAAAAACAGTTATTAGTCATGCTAGAAAGATCTCAAGTACAAGTGAATAAATATATAAACACCTAGCTAAATTGTATTACAATTTTCACACAATGGATTTTCTAATTAAAGGTTACAAATTAAAGAATTGAAATATGAAAACAAGTATGCAAATTGATTTCAAATGCATTATGCAAATTCTAAAATCTCATATAATATCCATAAACTACACAAATGCTTGAAACACAATGTTTGAATCAAAAATCAACTAATGTTTGAAACACTGCTCATCTAATTATGTCAGACACAAATACTTGCTTAAATAGAAGGCATGTAAAGCTTTTAGTTCAGTATATACCTGTAAGGGAACACGAATTTCCTGTACTCGAGATGCAAATAAACTCAAGCTAACAGCCAACTCCATGCCTTTTCTTTCTTCACCGCCAATTGCAGCTTCATCAAGAAAATCACCACGTGTCCACTCCACGAGTGGATCCCAAACAAATACTTCCAATAACATCAAAAGTATGTCCTTATTTTTCCTTAGAACACCGATAACTGTCTCACAGTTTGATCTGAAGCTACCTTCTATTCCAGTCAGCCCCAAAGCTGCTTCAATCATTTGGGTCAGACGAAAAGGAACAATCTCTGGAACTTTTAGTCTCTGTCCCTTGTCAAAACACACATTGTAATCAATGTGTACAATATCCCCATTACAAAAATCTATAAGAATGTTGTCTAAATGTCTATCGCCCAGTCCCAAAACATGACCAACCATACTCATTGCAGCAACACTTCCAGAATACCTACAGATTGAAGATGATAATAATAATAATAATAATAATAATAATAATAATAATAATAATAATAATAATAATAAAGCTAACTGTAGAGCATCAAATCTGCACGTCATAATTTTTTGTCTCTAAGCATACGTTCATCATATGCCAAGCACAAGTTTAGAAGTACTTTCAAATAGAATAGTCAACAAACAGAATTTTGTATTTGACAAGTAATTATAACAAGAAGATCATGCCAAACTTGCTTAACTCCATGAGAAAATAAAGGAACAAGGCCCCAGATAAGTTAGTACATAATGAAAGAATTACAAGCACTCAAAGTGTTGATTGACCTAAACTTATTGGTTTAAATGCAGAACCAAGTTCATGGAATAGTCTCAACAAAAAACAACAAACAAAGCCATATACAGGCAACCACTGAATATAATTATAAATAAATGGCATAACCACAAAATGAACTAGTAAAGGCTCATAAGTCCCTTGAATGTACCTCTTCAATTTTGAACTGAAAGCTTTATATCCCTCACTAGCGCACCATAGTTCCTGGTAAAGAAGATTTCTAGGCACCTCCTTCATGAGATCAAGAAGAACTTTACATTTGACTTCATGAGGCCAATCCCTTCGGGAAATCACTCTCTTAATGCCTTTCTCCTTAAGTGCAGGTATGATCTTCCCATAAAACATATCACTGGGTCGGGGAACAGGTGGAGGAGCAGAGGATTTTGTATTTGCAGTGCCCAATGCCAAAAACTGTGCTAGTTGGACACGGGTTTGCCAAGATTTAAATACGCTGTAAATACTTACTACATTGTCCACCCACTGGATTAGTCCGGCCCGACCACTGATTGGAGTCACAGAATAATAGCGAATGCTGAGAGAGTTGCTACATGCAGAAGAAGAAGAATGCAGAAAACCATTTATAGCCTGCAGTAATTGCATGATTCTAGCATCAAGGCGCAAATCTTCTCGTCCTTTGAGGAGATATGTGTACTTCTGACCATCTGAACCAAGTATGCCTAGCTTCTTAGGCTTTGTCTTTGTAGATAAGATAGCAACTTGTTCATGGAAAGAAGCAATTGTGACAACCCCCTGGAGATCAGATGATTTGTCAGAATCAGGTACTTTCATTTGTTTCTCAAGACCTGGCATTGGAACATCTGAAGATGATAACAAAGCTAAATGCGGTGCAACTTCTCGCAAGGAAACTGAAGACTTCCTCTGATAAGAGGCCAATGATGCAGCAATACTATCAAAAGGTCGCCATACATCACCAAGAGCTGCAGAAGATGCTGGAGGAATCTTGAAGGATAATATAGCTGATTTCAGTTGGTCATTATACTCTTCCTGGAACCAAGCTTCATGAGGAGTCTCAGGTTTTCGAGATGTTGAAGCTAAACGACGTTCCAAAGCCACAACTATTGGAGCCATCATTGCAGAATATCGAGCTGAATTTATCTTGTTCTTCTCATTCTGACTAAGTGTGACATTCTCTGCAATTCTTGCAGCCTCTTCTTTCAGCACATTTATTCGCCTCATCACATCTGTAACAAAATAGTTAGTTTTGTTTCTCTTCACTGATACTAAATCACTGAATCTTAATTATATCATAAAAAGAAATGAATGCAAGACATCCCTCAAACATCAAAAAAGAGTTATTAACTATTAAATGCAATTCAATAAAAATGGATCTCATCAATAAAATGTTTGGACAAAAAGGTAAGCAACCTGTGTGAAGATCCTGAAGAGTACTGAGCCATAATTCCTCCCAGAGAACAGTAACATTTCCAAGTTCATTTATCATCAGCTGAACATCCAGAACCAATCCAGGGTAAAGTTCTCTCTGCATTAAACAAATCATTTTTAATCATCCTATATGCTACTTTGAACAAGCAAGCTAACAAAAGGTAAGTATAAAAGCAATAACAATAATAGAAGTGTTGATCAAATTAATGAGCACATGTCTTGATAAATATAAAGGTCAAGCTAACACCATCAGGATGCTTATTATGCTGAAAACCAGATTACTATCTATTTGTCCCTCCAAAGTATATCACATACATTAGAAGTTTAGAACTACTAAAATACCTAACAGATATCAGAATCTGGAACTAGTTACTAAATCATTTTACCACTCCAAAAAGATTATTTCACTGGTGACTACACTTCCCTGTTTTAAAATCAGTTGAATTGCCACATGGTGACTATTAGGAAAAACTCAAGTCCAACATCGATTATAGATAAGACAATTAAAGAGTATATAAGTGAGACAACTCTCACCTTACAAACCAGTTTTGTAGAATTGAATTAAGCCCAAACCAGCAAACCCACATTCTAAGATAATATCAAAACTATCTAGATTCACTCTAAAAGGATCACCCACCATTGATACACGCACCAAGCTCAATAGCATTGGGCGTGAGGAGTGTATTAAAAAAAAATTCAAGTCTCGCCTATCCTAGACTATTAAAAAGGACCACCTACCATTTATCCACACTCCAAGCCCAATAGTGTTGGACATGAGGGAGTGGGAAAAAACTCAAGTCTCACATCAATTAGAAATAAGGAAATTAAAGAGTATATAAGTGGGGGACTACCTTCACTTTACAAGCCGGTTTTATAAGATTAAGTTAATCCCAAACTCACATTCTAAGAGTGGGAATTTGATGCCTAATTATCCACATGATGTGGGGAGAACATTTGTTGTAAAAATATGGTTTAAATACCCTTTTGGTCCCTATAGATTCATAAACTTTACCTTTTAGTCCTTTCAATTAACAACACTTCATTTTAGTCATTCTACATACCATTACCATTATTGCTTGTTTCCTTTTAATCCTTATAGTCTCATAAGGTTTACCTTTTAGTCCCTATAACAGTGGACAACAAAGACTAAAAAGGAACAAAAATGATATGCATGGAGACTAAAATGGAACTTTCTTGGACTCAAAGGTAACATTCATGAAACTATGAGAACTAAAAAGTATTTAGACCAAAAATATATAATCTACAAAATGCAGACAGAACTTTTCATATTACCAGACAACCCAACACATGATGAAGCTCTTCTGAAGGTTTCTCTTCATAAGCATTAACATCAACTAGCGTTGGATACACTATAGAACAGGGAGATTGCTTGGCCAGCATGATCAGTAAGCCCTCCAACTGCTTCCGAATCACTTGTTCAGGATGAGAACTTATATGTGCAAACAATTGAGGCGTAACTTCCTACAAAGACAATTCAAGTATCATTTCAGCAAACCATCCTCCCCTTGAAACTGAAAGAAGATAAAGTAAAAGCCCAAGATCTAGCAAGCAACCTGCCATGGCAACAAAGGAACAACCAAAAGAGAAGATTCAAGAGTATCTTTCAATTCAACACCATAATTGAGAAGTATATGCAATATATACAATGTAGCTCTCAGGGTGTAGCTACCAGTTTTTTGCTTCAAGGCCTCATATTCAGAACCAGGCATCTGTCTACGGCAAATACGGGAAGATGAATAAGAAAGATACTGTATGAAACCATGAGCAGCATGTCCAAACAGGGACACTCTTCTCCTCCTCAAAGACCACCAAATATCAACAAAACCATCCATTGCAGATATTATGTCAGATTCTCCCAGCCCAAAATTTGTGTTTAACAGACAAAGTCTCAATCGAGAAGAAACCATGGCTGAAAGACATTCACCTCCAGAGTTTTCTGCACCCGGTGCCCCTGCAGCAGTTTCAATAATATTCACTATATGCCAAACCAATGTCTGCAGAGGATTGTCATTAATTGAGTTCCCTGCAGAATCAAGCCAAGAGCTTCTCTCTTCCTGCTCATCTATGAAATCTTTCATATCAATATTGTCCTGAAAAAGACACAAAACCAATGACTTAATTCTTTGCACCTCGTCCTTTGTCAACTTGAATCTCTCAGGCGAAATTTCTGGAACAAGCATGGAAGAAAATGAGCATGAATGGAGGACAGTTTCACTCTGAACAAAGAGCGAGTCTCTAGCTTGTTTAAAGCACCAAGAAGCATAAGAAATCCATGACTTGCCCATGGTGGGGCAAATACGAGAAGACAATTTTGTTGCTGTACCAACAATTTCCTCAGTTATAGAACCCAAATTCAATTTACAACCTATATTTTCTTCATTGCCATCTTTTCCAAGTGTAGCTGATTCAACCATATCAAAATCTGATGGCATCTTGAGAACAATACTCTCTGGACTCCAGTCTGAATAATCCCGTGTCAGCCAATCTGCGAGTTTCAAGCATGCTTTGGCCTTCAGAATCCTCTCTTCAGCATCAAATATTCTAGATGTTAAAGAAACCATGCAAGGACGCAAAAATGACCAAAGATTAGTGAAAGCATCTTCAAACTTGTTTTCAGCATACTGTAGTAAAATGCTCTCATACTGCAAATTTAAGACCAAAAGATTGCGATGTCTCTCCTCGAGGCAAGCAGATACATGATCTTTGATATAGTTGTTCAGACGATTTGCCAACAAAAGATTATTTTGCTTGCGAGCTAAATTATGCAAATTCATGCAGAATTTAAGAGTAACAGGAGAAGTTGGGGAAATGGTTTGATAAACCCGAAGGACTTTTAGCCATGGATTACAATCTTGACGGATTTTACTAATAGAAGATGGCAGTGACATAAAAGAATTTTGTATGGACGGTAGTTGTTTGGCTGTCTCATGAATTGCTTTAAGCTTGTAATTCTCTTCTACAAGGAAAATGCAGTGCAATTGAATAGCAAGAGGCGTTGCTTCAGCTAAACCATCAAGTGGTAGAATAGAAAGTGGTTCCTCCAACATTGACCTTGCTTTCTGCAGATCATGCAGCACCTTATCATTCTTTTCCTCCTTCTGGAAGAGCAATGATTGCAGAAGCATCTGCTCACTCCGTTGCAAGGCTATTTTTGGATCAAGGGTAAGCTCACTGTTGCTTTTAGGTGTCAAATCAAGGCTTGACCATGCAGCCTGATAATCACCCTCATCAAAACGTGCTAATGCATGAATTGCATTAACTTCATTGCCAGCCATTGTCAGAGCACCAGAATAACTTCTACCAGCTTGTTTAGCGCGAAGCAGTTGCAACTCTAATAGCCAGGCTTCAAGAGATCTCCAATCAGATACTGCTGCATAACTCTCAATTATGCGTGCTATGACAAACTGTATACCATCAGAGCCCAGGGAACTGAGTGACTCTTCAGTCTGTAGCAAGTGAGTAAAGTGAGCCGCAGCATTTTCGTACTCACCTCTTGCTTGATATATGAGCCCACTTATCCACGAAAGGGGTCCAACAGTTCCACACTCGCTGAAGGACTCGTTTTCCTCCCCAAGTAAGGAGGAGAAGGTAATTGAAACCCATTTTTGTAGGCCAATCAAAGAATCTGGATCAGAACTCTTACAAAGAGCTAGTGAAATATGTCTTAAAACTTTTAAGACATCTCCTTTATACCTTCCTCTGATATTGTGGAGGTTATCAGTTGCCTGAGCCCTAGATTTTTCCTTCAAAGCTGACACAGAAAGATTCTTGAGCTCCTGCAAACGCAGTGTACAATATTGAATAACAGCATCATTGCAATGTACAGCCAATCCAGCATTCATCATTGGCTCACATATACGAGAAAACCAATCCTCACATACTTTTTTGTTTGCTCGAAAAAATAAAGTACTCTGACGGGTAGCCGGTGGTAAAATGACAGACCCCTCATATGCGTTATATACATTTTTCTTTAGAGCCTCAACAAAATCCAACAGTAATCTCATTGGTAGCAGGTGAGCACCAGAAGACCCTATCATACTCAAGTTCCCATCACTTTGCTCATTATCAAGTTGCAGAAGGTGTGCAATGTCCAAAAGCATGCGTTCTAGAGCAGCAAATGTTTGGGTAGGGCCACCAAGGTTAGTCCGCAGTCTTGTAGCAATACAGTACCGGGCTGCTTCTTGTACAGCCCACCAGGCACCAGCTAAATTATTGACAGAACAGATTTTTTCGAGTATGTCTTCATCCACTTGTACATCCAACCATGGAGAATTAGCACCAAAATTTCCTGTTTCGTCAGACAGACTTAAAATAGTGTCCTTTGAACTCTGGCAACTATGAATGAGCCTCTGGATCCAAGAAGAAAGAGGAACCTTCCATCTTTGTGAAATGTAGCTTAAGATTGATACAAGATGTTGTGAGTGCAGTTGCAGTGGCAACTGCTTCAGGGAAAATAATTGTTTCCAATGCATCTTAGAACTGCTGCCTAAACCAGGATCAACAAGCCTAAATCTCCCATAATCATAGAGACCACATGTATATATAGTAGTAGGCAAAATATGGGCAAGTAGTCTCACATATGCATCCCGTATCTCTAAAGTTGGATCCCCAAGTTTCTCAAGTATCACTCCCGTAACAGGATAAAAACACACAGGATGCAAAAGTTTTGCTTGCATAAACATCTCCAAAGTTACTGCAACATGTGACCTTACTTCTGGTTCCCTCTCAAATGTACCACCTAAAAGTGAAAAAACTAAGTTCATGATCACACCAGCATACTCACATGCTTCATAGGGGAAACCTCCTATGCTTGAGATCTTATTAACGGCCATTACATTCTCACAGAACTTTTGTCCCCAATCTAGCAAGACTAATTTAATTGCCAGAGGAGAAGAAACATGAAAGGCTTTTATAAGGAGCTTGCTATACTTCTCCAAATGCTCAGTAATCACAGCTGAAAACCCATTATTGAATTGATCATCACTGTCCTCTTTTTTAGTTGGGAGCTCAACAAAAGCTTTGTCACAATTCTGTTCTCTTTCAGAACACTTAATTAAGAAATCAACTGAATTTAGCCTCTCCAATGCCTTGACAACAGTAATCTGCAACTCCACGAAAGCCTGAATGGGTAATTCAAAAGGATTCATATCGATTGTGATAAAGGACACCAACTTTTCCGACCTCCTAAGATACAACAAAGCAACATCCTTTTGTCCAGTCAAAGTGTTATCCCCACCCATGGAAACACATGCTAATAGAACTTTCAAATCAAACTTGATTAATGCCAATAATTCAGGTTTTGAGAATGCTTTAGTATCTATGACACAATTCAACTCATCAGAATGACCAGTTTTGTTTCCAATTACACTCTTCAACAGCTTTAATTCATCAATCAACAAGGCAACCGCTTCGTCGACAACTTCTGTATTCCCATGCTGAAGCAAGAAAACATAAGTAGCCGCAGAACTCCCCGTTACCAAATGATTGGGATGCAATCTCAGCCGAGAAATCGAGGCGTCGAACTTCAATAACTTCTTCACAGACGTCGGAAGGAGGCCAAGCTTTTGCAACGACAATAACTGGAGATTAGTCTTCAAAACCCCATGAACCTGGAAAGAGCTAATCCTCCTAAACCCTGCCTTATGCGCAGTTGCTCCAAACTCCAAGCTCTGAAACAGGATATCAACAGCAAGAGGATAAAAACTCGAAAATCGCTCCCGCAATATCTCAGCCAAAAGAGTCAAACACTTCCAAGAATCCTCAATCCACTCAGACCACCCAAATTTCTGCCCAATCATGGACAAACACCGCAGCAACCGCGGCAGCAAGGCGCTAAGCGGCTCACATATCTGTTCCAGCAGGTTCATCTCCAGCAACCCCGAGGCAGTGGACTGCAGAATAGTGGAAAAACAAGAAACCATGGCAAGAAGCCGGCGAAACTGCAGCGGCGTGCCCGGAGTTCCATCATGAAGCAAAACCTCCATGTCCCCCAAGAACTTAGTGAGCAACCTCAGAGACATGGGGAGGCTACCAACCCAATGCTTCTGAAACTGCAAAAAGCTATCCAAAATAACACGCCTATCCGATTGAGCTAGGTCAGGCCCCAAGGCCCAGCCGAGAAGCAAGTCAACAATGTCAGTGAAATGAGGCTGAAAGCACCTCAGAAACTTCAACGAAATGAGAGTAATAACACCGATAAGCCTATGCAACAAAGCGAGGGAGGTTCTCTCGTCCTCGAGTAGCCCCTGGCACGCTTTCAGAATAGGCAGAGCGTACCTTTCGGTTCCGCCGACGTTGAGGAACTCGCGCAGGCCTTCGAGCGCGAGCTCCTTAGCGCCGTCGACGGCTACGGCGGAGTTGAGCGACGGCAGCGCCCAGCTGATGAAGCGGTCGACGAGCATGAGGTGGTTCTGTCTGCCGTTGGGGACGGAAGCGATGACAGCGCAGAGAGCGCCGTAGGCTGTGACTGCGGCTTGGCGCACCTCGTAGCATCTGCGTGGAAATGGAAGAGGTTAGTAGAGAATAGCGAATTAGGTTAAAAATGGAAGCGAGAGTAGTTACTGACTTGTCGGAGAGGAGTTGGGAGAAGGTCTGGGCGAGGAAAGTGGCGGAGTGGGAGAGGAGGAGGGAGTTGTGAGGGTGGAGGATGGTGCGGTGGAGGGAGTGGATCGCGGCGAGGCGAGGGGAGGGATCGTCGTCGGAGTCGTCCTTGGGGAGAGCCGCGGAGACGAGTGCAGCGAGGTGTTGGTGTTGGTGTTGGTGTAGACCTTGCATCACTGCGTTTCATTTCTTGCTTACCATGCCACTCTACCCCAGCATTCAACTTTTCTCCTACTAATACCTTTCTCTTCTCACTTTTCTCCCCTCCCAATGTTTTTTTTTTTTACAAGTATCGTAATGCTTAAATCGTTATAGAGAAACTTGCATTAAAAAAAAAAAATAGTGACTGAAAAAATTTATATTCATTAATTCAATGGGCACATAAATTTTGGAATACAAAAGGTATGTGTGAATGTTTGATTGTTATCTCACTCATGATGAGTTATGGAAAATTTCATTGAAAATAACAATAACATTGATGTGGACAAAATTAAACTTATATGTGAACAAAATAGAGGTCAATCATCTTAGTATATCGTAACATTTGTATAGCCTTCTTTTAGAATTTTTTATTTTACTTCACTTGTTATGGAATTAAAAAAATATATGGATGAAATGTTTCGTACCGAATAATAATCAATAATGTTACTTTACTCATTACCTATTTCATATAAATAAACATATTTAAAAAACTCTTAAAAATGGTATGAGCTTTTAAAAATTTATAAGAAAAAATCACGTTTTTTAGTCATGAAAAGATGAAACACGATATTAATATATTTGATGACAGTGTTGTTAAGTTGTATGTTATAAGAAAATCAAAGACGTTTGCTTAAAGTAGTTATAATAAAGAAAAAAATACAACAAAATCTAAACATTGTGTTTGGATTGTGGTCAATGTTCTAAGGTTGTAGATTTAGTGTTGTCTTTCAACTTTAGGACAAGATTGAAATGTTAATGATGCCTATGAGTGGTCAACTTATATTCGTTTTATTTAAGACTTCAAAAAAATTCTCTTTAAATATTTGAGACTCTTGTCATGATTGAGATTTTTTTTCTTGTTTATGATAATAATTGTAAAATATATCATACATGATAGTACATGTGCATGTGTATGCACTAATAGTTTCAATTTTATGTTAATTAATATGTTAATATTGTCTTTTTTATTCATCCCCTCAATAATTTTGCTATTCCTAAAAATTTTAACTTCACATATATCTTTTGGTTTCTATCTTTTTTTTTTCTTTAAAAAAAATGTGGTTATCATTGTGAACAAAGTTAATAATATAAGCAAATCATTAGAATACAATAATTGCAATATCATGATAACACTAATAATTACAAACAAGTTTCAGTTTGTCTAATTTAACTTTCCAAACTCAATAATAAAGTACAAAACAAAATTAAGATTCATGTAATACCTCATCTCTAACTCATTAGTCAATTTTTTTAAAAACTTTCATGTTCATTTAAGTAGTTAAAATAAATCTATACATCATAAAGGAATATGTCAATATTAAATGGGGAAAAACACCAAAAAAATATAATGTTTGAAGCTTAAATAAAAGAATAAGACTAGTTCAAATAATGTAACTAAAGAAAGGTGTTGAAAATATTCTATTGATATCAACTAGTTCAATTGGTGATGTTTGAACTATTAATTATGAATATTATTACCATATTGTCCAAAATGGGATTAGTTTACCACTTTGTAGTTAGTTAATGGTATTAAAAATATTCTATCGATATCAACTAGATTGATCGATGATGTTTGAACTATTAATTATGAATGTTCTTACCATATTGCCCAAATTGAATTTGGTTTACTACTTACTACTTTATGTAAAATAATGTGTCTATTATGATTGGTCAATCTGAGTTGATTCACCTTGACATCTTTAATATAAATCTTAAATATTAATGTTATTATTACTATTATAATTTTATGAATAAAAAGAATCTTAATTTATCTTTATATTTTATTAATTTTTTTTTCACATTAAGAAAGGAGTTAAGTTAAGATAATATATAATAAAATGTGTATTATATTATATAATAATTATATTATATATAGTATATTATTAGATATATTCTAAAATTTATAATTAGTACATTATCTTATATATAATTAGAATATTTTTGACATATAAATTAAAAGTATATTAATTAAAAGATAAAATATAATTAATCATTATGAAACTTTTTGAAAAAAATATTTGGATAAGAATTATAATTCAAAAAATCTTACATAATTTAAAGAAAAATATTTAAATTTTTATATAGTTTTTTAAAATACAATTTATAAATTAAACAATTAAATTAGAAAGTCACCATTTAGAAAACTGCATGACATTAATAAAACAATATTTTTTTTATTGTATGAACATAATTAATATATATCTTATCCCATTTGTTTAAATCAAATATAATTATAAAATATATAATATTATTTTAGTATGTCTCAAATATTGAATATGATTAAAATTTATATTATTCTTATCTTATCATGTTTTACCATACACTCATTTTATTTTATCTTTCTTACAATTATATTTTAAATTTATAGTAAACAGCTTAATTTGTGGCAAAATATTTTTATTAATTGCAATCCAATTTTTTAAAATTTAATTTAATTTAGCTATAGAAATAAAATAAGATAGATTCAAATATATAAATGATTAAGTTTATTTCATTATTTTAAAAAATTAAGTTTTTTTAATAACTTTAATAAAAATTATTAATAGTTAAAAATAAACAATACCCTTATTTATATTAATAAAATTGAGTTATTTCGTATTTATATATATTTTTAAAATTTATATAAAATAAAAAATAAAAATATTTAAAGTTATAATAATGTATAATTAGAATAAATTAAAATATTGTTTTATAAAAATTGTCACAAAGTAAGACAATAATTATTATCAATAGACAAAATAAATGATAATTAATTTATATATATATATATATTTATTTATTTATTTATTTTATCTTTTAAAAAATATGTTGGTGAGAAAATTTATTATATAATACAAAAATATAAATATTTAAAACAGAAACAAAAGATACCTCATACCTATCCTATTTATATACAGTATTGATAGATATTAAAAATTTAACAAGTTGAGTATCTTAAAAGCTGTTTGACTCCGTTTAAAAATCCTCAAAGAAAAAAAAAAAAAAAAACTCCAAAAGCATTTAGATGTTAGACGGTGTCGTTTCAGAGCCTTTCAAATTCTAGGGTTTAATAAACCCTTGTGTTCCTTCCGAATCTTTGCGAAAATTCGAAAGCGCAGAGAAAGAGAAAGGATGTCGTACGACGATGTGGAGATCGAGGACATGGAGTGGAACGAGGAGTTGCAGGCCTACACGTACCCGTGCCCGTGCGGTGACCTATTCCAGATCACGAAGGACGACCTCAAACTTGGCGAAGAAATCGCTCGATGCCCTAGCTGCTCCCTCTACATCACCGTCATCTACAACATCGAAGATTTCCTCGCCGATTCCGATCAAAATCGACAAAACAAGGGCCTTCAACCCCTCACTGTTGCTTGAATTTCACTTCATTCACTAATTTATAATCCGTACGTATCTTCCATTCACTATTACAGTTTGGTTTCGTATTACAAGCATAGTGACATCTCTCTATTTTGTCAGAGCATATGTAATTGTGTAAAGAGAAAAAAAAAAAACATGTTTTTTTGGCGGGTTCTCGATATGATTGCTAGAGTGACCAATTATCTTTGGGTTTAAGTGATGTAAATAAAAGTTGGATTTTTTGAACTTCAAAAGATAAGTGGAATAGTGGGGTGGTTGCAAGTGCTAATTCTGCTGGTGAAGCAAAGTGGAGTAGCGAGTAAGCGTGTCTCTTAACTATTCATTTTTGTTAGGATGGCTCTTTGATTGAATTTGAAGTTCTATGGTTTCCTAAGTTTTGGGAATTTTGGTTCAGTATCACCAATCAAAGTGTGTGTTTGTTTGCAATATAATAGACTTGAGGTGTGAGTCTCTGTGACAGAGCCAATTATCGAGTCATTGGTGAAAGTACATTGACAACCCATGGGTCGTTAGTGGTTAAGAATCTTTTGTTGAGAATTATTTACCCCAAATTTCACTATCTCTTATGTTCCAATTTTTCATTCTAAAATAGCAAGTAGCAGCATTATTTCCTTTTCAAGAGTCAAGACCCTTCCACCTCCCAATAGTAAATTCCAAGGGACCTCTTCATAGAATATGTAACTAAACTGGTATTAACTCAGGTTTTAGAAGTCTCAGAGTTAATGCTGTTGATTCTGATTTTTTATACGAAATTTACCTTGGATGTTTCATATGTTTCCTTTTATGGTCAGCATCCCCCTCTCACGCTATTGCAAATGAGATATCTAGCGTTTTTGTTGGCTATGATCTGTGTTTATTACGAGGCAGGTGGACATGTATTTTGGTTTTCTATAGACTTCCTTTTTATTGCATGTTTGTGTAACACTGGAAGAGTGACCAATTGCGTATATGCTGTGTGCCTTTAGGTCTGGGACTCTAGGTTTCTTATTGTGGGTCTGATTCTCATTGTATAGATTTCAAGGAGTTGAAAGTTGAAGAATATTTGATTGTAGTTCTAATCAGATTACTTTTTGTTATTATTATTATTATTTGAGAGCTGATTACTTATTATGTTTTTTTTAGTTTATACAGAATTGTAAAAAAAAAATTTACTCCGTAAATGACTGTATGCATTGTCTTGCAGATGTCCTGAAATGGAGAGAGCAGTAAGATTTTCTCGGCTTTGATTTATCATGGCATCGCGTATATTGATTTGCAGATAGGAATTCTTGGTATTTTTGATGGAAAAAGAAGAAATGAATGATATGATAGATTATATTGCAGCAAGCATACTATTGTTATTTGCTCTTCTGAAGGAAAGAGGGAACCAAGAATTTTGTCATCGATCTCGATTGAACATGTTTTTGTAATAGTTAGACATCATAATACCACACCATTCTACAGAATTATAGCAGCTACTTATATGCTAATTTTCCTTTTTGAACTAGTCACACCATTCTTTATTTTCTTTAAACGGGTTGTTGTTTGCTGTGAAATTTGTCGCACGTTTTGAGGCAATTTTGAGATTGCAGTGGGAAGATCATTCTAACTACTTTTCATCTTGAAAAAATCGTTCTTGTGGTTGCTGAAAGTTTGGCACTCGGATACTTAATTATTTGAACACAACAATCGAGTTTCAAAATGGTGAAAAATACACCTTGAATTTTATACTTGGAATCAGTCTCCAATAAAGATTTGAAAGTGCTCTCACAAGATATATATATATATATATAAAGGAACATCATAACATCTCATTCCTTTTAAAAGGGGTTTATTTGGAAATAGAGAGAAATAAAACAACTTATTAGGAAAATAGGACTAACCCACATAAGATTTTAACTGATTTGCATAAAATTTTATATTCAAACTTATTGTATACAGGATAATTCAAGTGGTTTGAGATTTATACCTTTTAATCATATATTGAGATTTGATCTCTAACTACCTTCTCTTTTTTATGCTTATACCTTCTCTTTAAACAAGAATAAAAAAAGGTGTTTAAATATATTTTTACTCATTTAATTATGAGGTTAATTTGTTTTATTTTACTGATTTAAATTTTTTTAGTCTCACTAATTTAGAAAAGAACTTCATATAGTCTTTTTTAATAGTTTTTTTTACTATAAATGTAATATTCTAAAATTGATAATTAATAATTAATATGAGAATTAATTTTAGAAGTACTAGGTTGACTTTATATCCTTGGACATGTCTTACGATCATATATTTGAATTTTGTTAATATAAATATCTTATTAAAGTAAGATTATTTTTAAAATTTTAAATTACAGAAATAAAATATTAATTTGAAATTTGATAGAATAAAATCAAATTTATCTCAATATTCGAAAGAGTAAAAACATGTTTAAATAAAAAAGAAAAAAGAAAAATAAAATAAATAATGTGATAAAAAAGAAAGAAAAAGAAAATACAAAATCCACATGTGAGTTTGTATCGTAATGATGTACTTGGTTGCTCAATTCATATTCGATTCAGGCGCCGGCGCGTCCTATTGGTCAATGGTCAGTACACACACATTACAGTACTTGGTTGCTGCACTGTCTCTCATCTGCTTCGCATTTGCAATCGCAGGTTCATAAACTTACTTCCATTACCCTCTCTTACTTTTCACTTTCCACCATGAAGTTCCTTAAACTCTTCAATTCCAAACCCTTCAAACGCCCAACTCTCAATTCCCTCTCCCATTCTCATTCTTCACTCTCCCAACCCCTAACACCTTCCACACCCCTCACCGAATCCACACTCCTCCATTCCATTGAATCTTCTCAGTGGCATTTCATCGAACACGTTGCTCCACACCTCACTCCCTCCCTCCTCTCCTCCACTCTCACCTCCCTCCGCCACAACCCCCAACACGTCCTCCACCTCCTTTCCCATCTCCCCAATTCCCTCGACCTTGCCGCCTCTTCCCTCGCCGTTACCATCCTCTGCCGCCTCCCCTCTCCCAAACCCTCCCTTCACCTCTTAAAACGCCTCATTCTCTCCGCCACCACCAGAGCCGTTTTCGATGAGTTGGCGCTCGCCCGCCACCGCCTCGACGCCAAGACTACTCTCGTCTTTGACCTCCTTGTTAGGGCCTACTGTGAACTCAAGAAGCCCAATGAGGCTCTGGAGTGCTTCTACTTCATGAAGGAAAAGGATGTTGTGCCCAACATTGAGACTTGCAACCAGATGTTGAGCCTGTTCTTGAAATTGAACAGGACTCACATGGCTTGGGCTCTCTATGCGGAGATGTTCAGGATGAACATCAGGTCAAGTGGCTACACTTTTAACATCATGGTTAATGTGTTGTGTAAAGAAGGGAAATTGAAGAAGGCAAAGGAGTTCATTGGCCACATGGAGGCTCTTGGAGTGAAGCCTAATGTTGTTACCTATAACACTGTTATTCAAGGGTATTGTTTGAGAGGCAAGTTCCAAGGGGCTCGTGCGATCTTTCAGATAATGAAAGATAAAGGTCTTGAGCCCGATTGCTACACGTATAATTCGTTCATTTCTAGGTTGTGTAAAGAAGGAAGGCTTGAGGAGGCGTCTGGTTTGCTTTGTAAAATGTTGGAAATCGGCTTGGTTCCGAATGCGGTAACATATAATGCATTGATTGATGGGTACTGCAACAAAGGGGATCTGGATAAGGCTTTTGCTTACAGGGATGAGATGATGAGTAAAGGCATAATGCCATCTCTGGTCACCTACAATTTGTTTATCCATGCATTATTTATGGAAAGAAGGATGGGGGAAGCTGATAATTTGATAAAAGAAATGCGAGAAAAAGGGATGATGCCTGATGCTGTTACGCATAACATATTGATTAATGGATATTGCAGATGTGGGGATGCGAAGAAGGCGTTCAGCCTTTTCGATGAAATGGTGGGAAAAGGGATTCAGCCAACACTCGTCACATATACATCGCTTATATATGTTCTGGGTAAGAGGAACAGAATGAAAGAGGCAGATGCCTTGTTTAGTAAGATTCGGCAAGAAGGTCTGTTGCCGGATATTATAATGTTTAATGCGTTGATAGATGGTCACTGTGCGAATGGTAATATTGATCATGCTTTTCAACTCTTAAAAGAGATGGATAAAATGAAGGTTCTTCCTGATGAAATCACTTACAACACCTTGATGCAAGGATACTGCAGAGAGGGGAAAGTGGAAGAAGCTCGGAAGCTTCTTGATGAGATGAAGAGAAGGGGGATCAAACCTGATCATGTTAGTTACAACACACTCATTAGTGGTTACAGTAAAAGGGGTGATATGAAGGATGCTTTTAGAGTTCGGGATGAGATGATGAATATAGGATTTGATCCTACGATTCTCACTTACAATGCTCTTATACAAGGCTTGTGCAAAAACCGGGAAGGTGAGCAAGCTGAAGAGCTCCTCAAAGAAATGGTAAGTAAAGGCATCACTCCTGATGACAGCACCTACCTATCTATAATTGGGGCGATGGACAAAGTTGATGACCTGGAGGAAAATGATGATAAATAAATTGAAATAGAATGGACGAATGGCTGTAATAGAAGAAAATAGTTTATTCAGGGACCTGTGTGGAAACTTCAATATTAGAAGTTATCACACAAGCATCTCAGCATTCCTTAATCTACAAGCTGCATCACTGAGCAAACATGTGCCTGTGTATGAAGTACAAGTTAATGGGGTTTCTGAAAAACTTCAAATTTTCCGTAGCTCATTGCTTTTGTAGTAAGATTATATATATTATATATATATATATATATATATATATATATTTTTTTTTTTTTCTTCGGTAGTTGTTATTTTTGTACCATATGA